TAATGAAATTTCAGACAAAAGCTCCGTTAAGCTTAACGGAGAGTTGAGAATACGGCCGCAAGTAATTAGTCCTAATAAGCTGCGGATGGTCTGAAAAATAAGTTGTCTGCGGATGGTCTGAAAAAAAAGTTGTCTGCGGATGGTCTGAAAAAAAAGTTGTCTGCGGATGGTCTGAAAAAAAAGTTGTCTGCGGATGGTCTGAAAAAAAAGTTGTCTAAAACCTAATTAAAAAAAAAACTTTTTAAAACAGTTTTGCTACTCCAGGAAGTGTTGCCAAAAACAAAACAAAACAAAAAAAAAAAAAAATTGAAAAATTTTAAAAAATTCTTTTGACTTGCGCAACAATGTATAAACTCTTTGTAAAATGTTTTTTAAAACAAGTTTTTATGAATTTTTTCAGAACTCTTTGAAAATGTGTATTCAATAATTTTTGAAGACATATAAAGTAGCTTATTTTGTAAAAAGTCAAAAATGATATTTTTTACCATAAGGCGTTTTGAAAAACGGCTGCAGTATGGATGATACAACGAATATGTTAAAATAAGATAATTTGACGCAAAACTTAAAAGCTCTTAACAAAAGCCACTAAACCAAAAGAATTAAAAGTAATTGCAGTTCAGCGCTTAAAAATTTTATTATAGTGAAAAATTTTATTATAGTGAATATAGTAATTGTAGTTCAAAATTTTTTTATAGCTAGTTGGTTTTGCAAAGAAACCTTATATAAATCATTTTTTAATTTTGATATAAACTTTTTTTTTTTTAAACTTAGTTGCGCTCAACCATCTCTGTATATATAAACAAATATTTTATTTGTTTATACGTACATTGTTTATAAAATGTCAAAAATCCACTTATATAACGTTTTATGTAATATAAGTAAACTTTTCTAATGACAAGTCTTTTATGCTCAAGCTGTTGTGTTTTGATTTTTTGTAGTTACGTTCTCTCTTAATTTTTACGTGCCCTCTCTTAATAATTTCTTTTTGCTAAAATTATTTCATCTGCTTATATATATAAGCAAATGAAATAATTTTTAAAGTATAACCTTTGAGAATGATAGTCATAGAAATAAGATTTTGTTAAATTTTTAAAAAAAAAACTCTATCTATTAAAGATATATGGAATATATTTTTGTGGAATATATTCTAATAAAGTCAAAAACTATTTATTTATTTCTATTCTATTAAATACAATCTCTTATCCGTGAAAATAATATATCTGTACCAGTTTTATATATTTTTATGCATTTATATGCAACATAGTGAAAATTAATTTTAAAAATGTAAGGTAAATACAAAAGGAAACTTGACGCATAAAGGTTTATTTTCCCACAAACTGATATCAATGCCTAAAATTTTTTTGGCTTAATTTTTAGATAAGCGTTTAGTATTATTCTTTATTTCGTTTTTAGATAAGCGATAAGTATTACTCTATATTTCTTAACCATAAGAATTAATTTTTTTTTATGACTTTGGTTTAGATCTTCTTAATTCCATTTGAATAGCGTTACGTACAAACGTATGGAAGTGTAAACGTCTTTAGCATATGTTGAGTTTGCAGGCATTATATTGAATAATCGCGTATATCTATATATCTATAAAATGAGAAAACTTGAAAATTTTAATTTGAATTTTAGAAATCTTTGTTTCTATATTATTATTTTTTTGCTATGAATATATAAGTGAATATATAAGCAAGATTGAAAAAATTCAAAATTCATTACGCTAAGATAATATCTTAAACCCTCCAAAAAAACTCTGATGACAGTGCATTTAATCACTGAGCTATCAATTTAATGCATTTAGCAGAAAAAAAAAACCTTATTGTAAGTCTCTTATAAGCTTTACGTATGCTGAAAAGGTGCGCATGTTAAGTTTTTTGCTCATAAATTTTTTTTTAAATAAATTATTTTACTAAAAAACATTGAAGTAAAAAAGGAATAGGTATAGAAATAATCGGCGATGAATAGATATGTCAATTGGTAAAGATCTGTATTTTATGGATCCGGAAAGCTTGGATATATAAGAAAAATAGATGGAAATTTTTTTTTGGAATAGATATACAAAGACCCATATTTTTACGGGTCCGATCTCAGCTAGTATATATTATTGCCGAACTTAATAGTTTTAATAGTAGTGTTCCTTCGAGCGTATTTGACACGAAACCCTTAGCAGCCATTGCAACTGAGGTATTGGCGAGAAAGAGTCTCACCTTTGCTTTATATGAAAACGTGAGCAAACGTAAAACTTATATCTTACGTACGTAAACTTCATGTTATGTAATGTTAAAACATACTTAAACAAATATCAAGTTTTACAATTTGACTTTCTCTTAAAAACTGCATTGCGTTTTCCTCTTCTTAATTTCTGATCTTTAGCATCTATATCCGTTTAAAACAATTTTTATATAGATTTCAAGTTTAAATAGTCAACGTGCCAGCATGGCCAAGTGGTTAGTGCGCTGAACTTTTAAACAAGGAGGCCGAGGTACGAATCTAACCACCGGCGACTTTTTTTTTAATTTTGAAAAAAATTTTAAAAATACTCGTGAAGTTTATATACAAACATATGTGAAGATTATATACAAACATATCTAACGATGTTATACACTTTAACAAACAAAAAGATTTTTAAAAAAGCTAAAAATTAATTTTTAGCTTTTTTAAAAATTTTTTTGTTTGTTAAAGTGAAAAAAAAAATTAAAAAACGGGTGGATATTTGTTGCGTATGTGTCGTGGTTGAGATACTTATGTTTTTTAATTTTACATTTCAAGTTTTTTTACAACTAAGTTGAGTTTGTACAAGAAAAACGAGTATACAACATCTTTATATATAAAATATAAAATTTATAGAACTGTGAAATTGTTTTGTTTTGCATTTTAAATTACAAAAATTAAAAATAAGCTGATGAAATGCAAGCTAATGATTTAAATATGCCACGCCGTCTTAACTTTTTCAAAACAGTACGGGGGTTTAAAAAGTATGTTTTTTATAAGAACATATTTAAAAATTCTAGTTTAATTTTTAAAGTAAACCATTTGATTAAACTAATTACTTTTAAAAATAGTTAAAAGTTAAAGTTATTTAATATTGATACAACAAGGAAATTTAGATTTATACAGCTATTTTATAACGCCCCCGTTTAACATTCAAAACCCAGTGCGCTTCAACGACATAATTTAAATAACCATCAAAAAAGTATTATACCCTATTATTTTTTTGGCTTTATATACTTTTAGGCTGTTTTTTTATATAAACTTTAAAATAAGGAATCGTCCAAAAATTAGGAAACGCTAAATTTTACAATTGAAAAAAACAAAACATTTAGAAATTAATTACAAATGATCTAACATCAAACTAATGGCATAAACAAGACAACTTAGACAAATTAGTCTCAATAAATTACGTCAATTGTCTGATAATTTGTTTAAATTAAACAATTTGTTAGAGTATTGATTTATAAAATTTAAACAAATTAATTCAGAAAATACTAAATAAAAACGTTTTTTTTTACATGAGTATGCAAAAAGCAAGATCTCATTTAGAAAATAGGAGTTGGATATGTTTGTGCTGTGTCGATAAAGACAAAAATGTCTATCTGTGGAGAAGAATGATTCATTGATTCATCTGATCAAACACTTTGTGGACACTTCTTAGAAATTTCTTAGCTTTTTATTCAATTAGTACAGGTAGGGGAGTATTGACTTACCAGTCTACATAAAATTAGGAGACACGATATGTTAATACTATTATTTTCAGCAAGTTAATATTTGGTCAACTATTGTTTGACTTAGTAGCTGAATGCTGTTTTGGGATGAAACTCGATATATCCCACAAAAAAAAAATAGACAAGTTTGTGGAGTCCATGCTTCACTTGAATGCATATGTCTATGATGTATTCAATTTGATTTTGATGGAAGTTTCACACAATCAGGTTCCATCTCAAGGAGTATCTCGATAGACAGAAGATCCTGCTCGGTATTACATCAAAACAAACATCAGAAGCAGTGCATAAAAACTTAAACAAGACACTGAAAAGGTTTATTGTGTCCCAGAAAAACGTCCATCGCGGTGAAATGCTTAGAGCTATGGTTGTTTAATACCGTTCAACGAGATTGTAAGAAGATTTTTCAAGAATATATTTAGATTAAAAAAAATACCAAATCTTTTTTTTAACATATAATATGTAAAATACTGTTTGTGGCATTTCATTTGCCTGAATTTGTTATCGGAGATTTATTCATACTTTGTGTGTGTCAGCAGAAATGGAAAGTTTGTTGCATTCCTAATAGATTTTTGACAAGAAGATAATTGAAAGTATTATTATGCTAATATTTATTGAAATTATATTTTTTTGCTAAAAAGCACGGCACTCAGATCACAGGGGCAGGAATACTCTTGAAAAATCCCCCCTGCACCCATCTGGTTGAGAGAAAATATTTTTTGAAAAAAATCTTTATCTTGAATTCAAACACAAATTGTAATTAGGTTTCATATTTAATCAAAATATAATTTGACGCTCAAAAGATACAGCCACATAAAGTTTAGGACCCCCTCATTTTTTGAAGATTTCAAGAATTTAGAAAAATGGTCAAAAAATGAAAAAAGATGCGGTTTTTAATTTGTTTTCAACGGTTTCTATTTCATGTCAACCTGCTCGAAAGAATGGTTAAAAAAAATCTAAAGTAAAAATAACTTCAACTTAAAACCTCTAAAAATGAGCAGTGACTCCAATCATAGATATATAACAAAGAACGTTTTAATAATTGTAATAAGCTAAAGTAAAAATTGGCAACTAAAAATTTTATTAGTATCAATTCATAAGATTTTAAGTAGAGAATAGAAGATACAATGAAAAATCATTAAATAAAGAAAAATATGAGATAAAAATACTGGTTGAGCTTTTCGGTCAAGCTTTATATATATTAAAATTTGTTCCTCGTGATCATCACGAAAATTTAGGAAAATATTATATTTTTCTATATATTATAAAATATACTTAAAAATAAATTATTGCTCTAATATAAAAATATACAATTTATATCAAATTACTGCTTGAATTTTTGGCTGTTGCTTTAAGCTAAAACCACCTCCAGTATATTTTGGAACATCGTTTCGTTGTGGAGAGATGACCGCAACACCAGAAAGAGTTTTATCTCGGTCTCTTTAAAAAAAAAAAGAAATAAGAAAAACACCACAACTTCAAATGTAAACTCGAATAAAAAAAATAAAGTACCTTTGTTGATATTCTTTCTTTTTATGAACGAAGTATTTCTTTTTAACGTCTTGAAGCTCACGTGATAACTTTTCAATTTCGAACTTATATTCTTGGACTTGGGTTTCATACATATTCAATTCGGATGCCATTACCTAAAGAACAAATAAAAATCATTAAGTGGTGCATTAATTTCTTTAAAATATTTATATTCTTTAATTATATTTTTATTAATATTTCATTAAATTTAAATTCTTTAATTTCATTAAACTTCTTGTGAAATGTAAAAAAATACTTAGGTGAATAACGCAATTACTTTCATTTGCTTTGTTTTTGCCTTGAGATTTTGTTGATAGACACTTAGTTGTTCAGCAACTTCAGGACCAGGCTGTCGTGCTAGTATCTGTTTTAACTCGATATAAATTTTATCTTTTTCTTTAATAAGAAGTTCTCGTTCGACAACCTGTGCATTTAAAATTAAATTCATTTACCCTTATAATTTGTAATACGTATATGAATTTATTTATTAAATATAAATATGATAACATTTATTGAATATAAATATTAAAAAGAGTAAAGTATTCCATAAAAGGACGGATAGGAGATTTATAACAATAAAGTATAAAATCTAGAGTAAGAAAGTGGAGAGCACAATAAAGAGATGCAACCTTAACAGATGCTAATTTTGCAATCGATTTGATATATGATTTCCAAGAAAGAATGGAAGTAAGAGTTAACCCTAGAAGACGAAGGGTAGATGACTCATCAAGCTCATTATTGTTCATAAATATAGGAAGACCTAGATTATTGCAATGACGATTAACTGAAAAAAATTGAGTTTTATCTGAGTTAAAGTTCATCAGCCACTGAGAGCCCCATGCTGTAGCAGAAGTGAGATCCTTTTCAAGCTTAAATTCCCCCTCTAATTAATGAGAGAGTATAGGCTTCTTATCATGACAAAAAGAAATGGTAGTATCATCAGCAAACAATGCCTTAGATGTGAGAATTTCTGTTTACCCCTTAAGTCTTTGCAAAGGAGACCTTCTACAAGACAGTAGCCAAATGCGTTTCACATCTGCCCAAAATGAGTGAGATTCTACAAACTTAGAATACTAATTTATCTAATATTTGCATAACGAGTCTTTTTATTAGGTTTTTAATCATTAATCAACAATCTTATAAAATCTTACCTTGGGTCTAATAACTCTACAGCTGGTTTGTTACCGAAAGTTAAAATTTTACTAAATAAAAAAGCAAAGAAATATTATGAAACAATATATTTCCAAAGAGAAGCTGAAAAATTATCATCAACAAAGAAGACGTAAAGAAATTACCAAAACAGAAATACTTATAAGTATTTTTGGAATACTCATAAGTATTTTTGGAAAAATTAAGGGCTTTCCTGAAGACCGACTAATAGCTAACGTAATGAATAAGAAAATATTTTTTCACATAATTCACATCAGATAAAAAGTAAAATAAAATCAATTCTCACAAAATGACATGATTCTCATTAGATACAATAACATGAATTCTCACAAAATAACATGAATTCTCAGAAAATAAAATGATTCTCATTAGATTGATCATAATGACTAACTTTTATAAATTTTCAATGTATTTAAGTTAAACCAAATATTTAAATTGTTAAATCTGTTTTACAAAAATTTTTTGTGTTTAAACTTAAGAGAAATATAAAAACATTTTATTAAATCAAAAACATATTACTCCACCAATTAAAACCATGTCAATAGAAATTTTTACCTCCTCTGTCTTTTGTATAAGTCTTTTTTGCAATGTTTGCATCTTTTGAATTAACTCAAAGGTACTTGGATCAGAACCCTTTAAAATTAAAAATAGCTTTGACTACATTTACTTTCAGTACCATGTTTACCATTCAGTATTACAATACTAAAAAGTGAACATTAGGGTGTCCCAAATTTACACTTCTTTTTTTAATTTCTATGTGCACACAATTTTTTTCCCATTCTCTAGTGTCCCCTGATTGCAAATATATATAAAAAAAACATTGTCAGACCACAACTTTAGCAATATTTAAAATTCCATTTTTTGTTAAAAACCAAAACTTTACGCATTTTCCTAATAAAAATACTAAAATGTGTCAAAAAAAATGTATTTCAAGAATAATAAATTATATATTTTTTAACTGGGACTTACAAATATCTTTTTAAGCTTCTTTCTACTGTCCCCGGCCACCAGCATTGAGTTTTGTTGCATATTGTCAGATTTATATCCACCTACATAGTCCTGAATGAGGCGTATGTTTCTTTCAGCACAATCGTTGACGCAAGTCAAATTTTTAACTAATTTTTTGAATAATTCTAATGACTTTGGGGCTTTTTCCGTCCTCCACAGCTCTACTTCACCATCAGGAACTTATGTAATTTTTAACAGAAGCCAACTTTCTGGACCTACCAGTACCCAAAAAGCTTAGTGGACTCAGATTTTCCAATCTTGAACTTGTCAGGAACATCTAACTGAACTAATCTATCCAACATCTCTTTTTTCACTTCCTGCTCTACATCATCATCAGCCAGAGATAGTAGCACCAACTGCTCAGTCAAGTACCAGGTATGTCTTTACATACTAGCAACCAATGCTGAACCAAGATTGGGATATTTTTCTTTGATACAAAAAGCATTCTTAAAAGCGGCAAGATCATTTAAGGGTGAACTTGCAACCAAGTACGACTTTAGAAACCAAGGTGCATACCAGACAGGTGTGAAAAAGGCTGCTGCTTCTATCATCTTTTTTTCGACTTAGCTCATAACCATGATGATCTTATCGGTTATTTTCAGGGAAAGTATAAAGCATCAGCCATAAACCTAAATAGTAAGATTTTGTCATTATCAATATTTATTTATTATATTCTTTTATTTATATGTAATTTATTATACTTAAGCTTTTTTCTTTTAATATACTGTACCTAGCTTCATGGCAAACTCCAGGTTGATGAAAACACAGTCCAGGTACTTCTCCTCCCAAAAAAACCAAAAAGCTCGCATAGTTTCCTGTGATCATTCATCACAAAAGTTTTTGAGGCAAGGGCCTCTTTTCCAAACTCCAGAGCTTTCTTAGCAATTTCATAAAGAGGTGACTCAACCTGAAGCTGACTCCAATCAAACCTAACTAGATCTATCATCTTGTCAACCTCTTTCTTGAAAAAACACCAATTTTTCTGGTGTTTGACATTCAACCCTTTTCTAGGGCCCTTCGTCTTCTCGAAATTCAAAAACCTCCATAAAGTGTGAGATGTGTATTTCTAGTATATGTCTTCTACAGAAAAACCATATAAATGGAATATTAGGAATGGAACTAAGGATAACAACAGTTGCAGAGTGTATTCCAGTAATGGATGCAATAGCAAAGGCTGGAAGGAGTGTGCTTCCTGTCATCAGTACTATCTTATGTCAGTCATGCCTATAGTAATATATATATATATATATATATATATATATATATATATATATATATATATATATATATATATATATATATATATTTTATATAGTTGGAGGTGCCTTAGTTACTGTATTAGCTCACCTGTAATCTACTTTATATGTATGTTTGTGTTCTGTCTGAACCTCTGGCACGGTGTTGGCTCACCCATAAGTTACTTTATGTTTTTTATGTATGTTTGTGTTCTGTCTGAACCATTGGCGTCGTGTTCGCTCACCCGTAAGTTACTTTATGTTTTTTATGTATGTCTGTGTTCTGTCTGAACCTCTGGCGCTGTGTTCGCTCACCTGTAAGTTACTTTATGTTTTTTATGTTTTTTTATGTTACTCACCCGTAAGTTGATTTATGTTTGTTTGTGTTCTGTTTATTCTCTGATGCAGCGTGAGCTCAGTAACTAGCTACTTACTCCAACTACAAAACCTACACTCACCTTAGACTCCAGTATTTTGTTAGATGCAGTGTTTTACCTAATGCACTTCCAAAATGTCATGCCTGGTTTTCTCAAAGTACTGTTGCGGGAAAAAACTCCTTTTAACTACTCCAGGTCAGGTCAGGATAATCAAGATCAATCTTGCTACTGGTATCACAGAACCCAGTACCACCTGCCACAAGCCCTGCTGCCTTGCAGAGTGTGCTCTTCTTAGGCAAAGGCTAGGAGAAATAAACTCCAACTAAAAACTCCCCTGCCTTAAGGCTCTTGGTTGAGTAAAGGCTAGAGATAGTGTCTCGATAAAAACACTCATCTTGGGCAGATGTAACTGCATCCAGCTAAACATCCCCTGCCTTGGGGCTCTTGGTTGAGTAAAGGCAAGAGATAGTGTCTCGATAAAAATACTCATCTTGGGCAGATGTTAACTGCATCCAGATACTGTCTTGTAGAAGGCCTTCTAGGCAAAGACTTTAGGGGTAAGCAAAAAAATTCTGCTAACCAGCCTCGAACCGAAAAACTTGAAGTTTAATGGTTCTGAGGCCGGCTGGTAGTAAGGTTTCCCAAACTCTGTGGTACCTCTCAGAGAGGCTGATTCCATCAACAGCTGCAAAATATCAGAGTATTAACAGTGCCATGTTGCGAATGGGTGGTGTCCCTGTTAATGCTTTTGGTGTGCATTGTCAAGACCACATAAGGAGCCCTATGTCACGGCTTAGGGTTAATTAACAGGACTGAGACAACTGCATAGCTCATTGATTAGGAAGCTGTGCTCTATCTATGAATGAGTCAAGTTCTCATTAAATCGAAATCATGACCAAAGTAACCAAAAATTTTAAACCTAAAAAAGCATCCCCACTACCTTAATGTTTTAATATATCTTTTACAAATACTTAATATACTAGTATTTGTAAAAAGTCAGTTGAGTCTTACCTCCTGTCAGTTGAGCCCTGTCAGTTGAATTGAGTCGTCAGTTGAGTCTTACCACCTGCAAAATTCACCAGACTTGCTTGCACTCAGTGAAACAAATTTAAATTCTGCAATTCCTTTTTCAGATGTTAGTGTTGATGGGTACTATCCTTTGATTTGTAAAGACTCCAATAGCCACATGCTAGGTTTAGGGCGATACATACGCATTAATTCCCCTATTTGTCGTAAAATCAGGTTCGAATTCTTTGACCATTCTTTTATGTGCTTTGCCTAGCACCTCTTCATTCTATCACCTTTCTCTTTGTTCTTTATCGTTCTCCTTCTTCCCATGATTGCACTCTTTTAGATGTTATCTCTGATCAAATTGACCATGCCCTCTCCCTTTACCCCTCTGCCAATATTGTTGTTGTTGGTGAATTTAATGCCCATCACACTGAATGGCTTGGCTCTAACACCACTGATCCTGCTGGCACTAAAACCTTTAACTTCTGCATTTCTCAATCTCTTACCTTAGATAGTTAACTTTGTGACTCGTTTTCCTGACAACCCTAATCATTTACCTTCACTCCTAGACTTATGTCTTGTCTATGACCGTAGCTTATGTTCAGTTTCTCCTTTTTCTCCCTTAGGTGGTTCTGACCATGCAATGATCTCTATAAATCTTTCTTTTTGTATTTCTTTTTTGGGCTCACCTTATCATCGCACCTTCTACTACTACCCTAAAGCTGACTGGGATTCTTTTCGTGATTTTCTTCAAGATGGTCCTTGGGCTGATGTTTTTTCTCTCTCAGCTGATAAATGCGCTTCCTACGTAACCTCCTAGATTCAGGCTGGAATGGAAGCTTTTATTCCTTCTTGTCGGTTTCAAGTCAAGCCTCATTCTACTCCATGGTTTTCTCCTTCTTGTGTGGCTGCTATATCCAATCGTAATCATTTTTTTCATCGTTTTTAAAAGAACAACTCTCTTGAGAACAAACGGCTATTTATTATTGCAAGAAATTGATGTAAAAAGGTGCTTTCTGATGCTAAACCGCATTATTCTCAGTTCACTAAATCTCGAATCTTATCACAGAAGTTAGGCTCTAAAGACTTTTGGAAAATCTTCAACAGCATTATTAACAAGGGTAGATCTAACATTCCATCTCTCATTCATGGGACTGATCTTATTACCTCTCCCAAGGATAAGGCAGAACTATTTGCAAAGAACTTTTCTTCTAATTCCACTCTTGAATCTGATGGACATTCTCTTCCTTCCATTCCAGTCAAACAGGTTGACCCATTGTTAAACATTCAAATCACTCCGGCTTCTGTTGCTAAAGTCATATCTCAATTAAACTCGTCTACAGTTTGTGGTCCAGATAACATTCCTGTCACAGTCTTGCAGAATTGATCTCCAGAACTTTCTTCAATTCACTCTAAACTATTTAACAAGTGTTTGACTGAGTCTTCTTTTCCTGCTTGTTGGAAAATGGCATCTGTGGTTCCAATATTAAAATCGTCCTAATTGCTAATAACAGAAAGAAGTATTAAAATCGTCCTAATTGCTAATAACAGAAAGAAGACTGATCGTCCGATCAGTCTTCTTTCTGTTATTAGCAAGGTCTTTGAGTCTTTGATCAACAAACTCCTCACATCTCATCTTGAGTCAAATAAACTACTGTCAGACAATCAATACGGTTTTCGATCCTCTCGCTCTACGGCCGACTTGCTAACTGCTGTAACTGAAAGATTTTATCGTGCATTAGATGGAGGCGGTGAGGCTAGGGCTATTGCTCTCAACATATCTAAAGCTTTCGACAAAGTTTGGCATGCTGGTCTTCTCCGTAAGCTTGCTTCAAATGGTGTTTCTAGGAAAGTTTTTGAGATTATCAAATCATTTCTTTTTAACTGCTTTATTAAAGTCATCCTTGAAGGCCAACACTCTTCTTTATTTCCAGTAACTTCTGGGGTTACCCAAGGTTCCATCCTGGGCCCTGTTTTGTTTCTTATCTACATAAACAATCTT